CTTTCTGCATTAAATCCTATATTGTTCAACTTTTAAAAAATAATGACATACACGACGCTTGTGAAATTGGAAAAGAACCCTCACTAGCAGGAAAAAAATGGGGGGGGGGAGAACAGCTGTATGGCTTTCAATCGCTTTTTCATCTCAAATCTTCAAGGGCTCCACTCGGAATGAGAGCTACCCTGAGCACCAGGGGAAAACGAAGCGGACAGGCTTCCCTGGCAATTACTCAAGCAGATTATCCAGTAAGTCAGATCAGGAAACATTTAAGACTAAGAAGTTCGCCACCCTTGTTCTAAGCACTTAGAAAATTCATCTAGTAGCCTGGGTCTGTTAATAACTTTTAAACAGACTTTTAATTTGCTATTAAATAACTCAGTTTAAAGAGGAAAGATCTTTTTGAGAGTAACGGGGTTATTTAAGCATCATATTGAGTTTTTTTCTTACTAAGGTAAAATTCACATAACATAAAATTGACATTAACCATTTTAAAGTGTATAATTCAGTGGCATTTAGCACATTCACAATGTTGTGCAACTATCGCTTCAATCTACTTCCAAGACATTTTCATCACCCCAAAAAGAAATTCTCTACCCATTAAGCAGTTACTCCCAATTCCCCTCCCCACCCAGCCCCTGGCAACTTCTAGCCTGCTTTTTCTCTCTTGGATTTGCCTATTCTGGACATTTCATATAAACGGAATCATACAATATGTGGCCTTTTGTGTCTCACTTCTTTCACTTAGCATAACATTTTCGAGGTTCATCCATGTTGTAGCATGAATCAGTGTTTCACTCCCTGTTATGGTTGAATAATTTTCCATTATATGGCTATACCATATTTCGTCTACCCATTCATCTGTTGATGGACATGTGGGTTGTTTCCACCTGTGGAAACTGTGGCTACTGCGAATAGTGCTGCTGTGAACATTTGTATACAAGTATTTGTTTGACTATCTATTTTCAGTTCTTGGTGGTATATGTCTAGGATGGAATTGCTGGATCATATGGTAATTCTACATTTAACTTTTTTTTTTTTTAGATTTTATTTTTTCCTTCTTCTCCCCAAAGTCCCCCGGTACATAGTTGTACATATTTTTAGTTGTGGGTCCTTCTAGTTGTGGCATATGGGACACCACCTCAGCATGGCTTGATGAGTGGTGCCAGGTCCGTGCCCAGGATCTGAACCTGTGAAACCCTGGGCTGCCAGAGCAGAGGGTGAGAACTTAACCATTCAGCCATGGGCCCAGGCTATACATTTAACTTTCTGAGGAACTGCCAAACTGTTTTCCACAGCAGCCATAATCATTTTACACTCCCACCAGTGTAAAATGGATGAGAATGTATGAGGATTCCAATTTCTCCACATCCTTGCCAACACACTTCCATTTTTGTTTTTTGAATTATGGCAGCATCACATTGCTTTTGCCAAGCAGTGTTACTCATCTGAAACTGCTGATTAAGCACAGTTGTGTGTCAGAGAAAGTGACATTCAGTGACAGGTTGACTGCATGTTCTCATCCATCCACTCCTACTTGTCAGTCATTGAGCCTCTAGAAGTACCTTTTAACCCTTTTTTTCCACTGTGCTCAATCTTAGTAAATGCACCACTGTCCACCAGGTTGCTTGTGCCCTGAGATAACCTGGGAATTATCCACGCCACTTCCTTCCCTTCATCCCTCACATCCAATCCATCACCAACTCCTGCTGATTGCACCTGCAAAATACATCTCAAGTCTGTTCACTTCTCCCCGATTTCTGCTACAATCATCCTAGTCCAAGCCACCATGACCTCTCATCTGCATGCCTCATCTCCTTTTTTTAACCACCTGTATTAGTTATCTACGGCTACATAACAAATTATTACAAATGCAGCAGCTTAAAACAACGCACAATCATTATCTCACGATTTCTGTGGGTCAGATATCTGGGGCGCCTTTGTTGGGTGCTCATGGTTTCTAACAAAATGACATCAAGGTGCTGGCCAGTGCTGCAGTCACTTCAAGACTCAACCGGGGGATGATCCACTTCCTAGCTCACTCATGTGGCTACTGGCAGGCCTTAGGGCCTCCCTGGCTGTTGGCTGGAGACATCAGTTCTTAGCCACAGGGACTACTCCACAGGGCAGCTCACAGCTGGCTTCCTTCAGAGCAAGTGAGCAAGAGAGTGAGAGAACGAGCCTAAGACAGAAGTCACAGTCTCTTTGTAACCTAATCCTAGAAGTGATATTCTATCTCTGCTATAGTCTGTTAATTAAAAGCAAGTCACGGGTTCCAGTCCACCTTCAAGGGGTATGGGATATTACACAAAGGTATCACCAGGGGCCATCTTAGAGGCTATCTACTCCAATCTGTCCTCTGGCAGCCAACGATCTGTGTCCTTCCCACATGCAAAGTTGCACTCTCCCCCTCTGAAGGGCTTCAAAACTCGGCTGGCCTGTGACCGAGTGGTTAAGTTCGCATGCTCCACTTCAGTGGCCCAGGGTTTCACTGGTTCAGATCCTGGGCGTGGACATGGCACCACTCGTCAGGCCACGCTGAGGTTGTGTCCCACATGCCACAACTAGAAGGACAACTAAAAATATATAACTATGTCCTGGGGGTATTTGGGGAGAAGCAAGCAGAAAAAAAAGAAAATAAAGATTGGCAACAGTTGTTAGCTCAGGTGCCAATCTTTAAGGGGGAAAAAAAACCCTCATCCCAGTAAAGCATCAGCTAGAAGTCCAAAATCGCAAAACTGAATCAAGTCCAGGTGTAGATTAATCCCCTGAGTATAGTTCGTTAAGTACCTTTCCTCAAGTACAGAGCCTCTTAATGTGAAGACTTGTGAAAATAAAGAGACAAATGATTTGTCCCCTACACACTCAACAGCAACAGACACTCTTACTCAACAAGGGGGAAGTGAGAGGCACAAAGGAGTCACTGGTCCATGGAAGGCTGAAACCCAGCTGGGCAAATGTTGGAAGCTCCTAGAGTAGTTCTCAAAGCCCGAGAATAATTATCCATGGCTCCCGGCTTCACTCTCTGAGTCATGCTTTTTCATAAAAAGTAGCGTGTTTGCAGCTCAGCAGCATTCTTGGCTGTCTTCCTGCTAGCACTGTGGAGGTCTAAAGGCCTCTCTTTATTCTGTTCTGTCACTTTCTCCTCAGTCCGAGAGGCCAAATATAACTCTTTCAACAACTTTGTGGGTTTCCTGGGAACCTTCTTGGAGTTCACGCCATATCCGCAATCTCCCTGAAAAAGTCTCCTCTGCCTTGGGCTCCTGCTGGAGTGCTGCGGAGCGTGACTTTAAGCTTCCTGGAGGCCTTAACGTTTGACTGAGAGGATCTATGAGACACACCCGAAATGTCTTCAAAGGATCTTTTCCATGACTGAATAGTTTTCTAAAGTATCATCTTTGATCTTCTGAGATCTTAACAAAATATTAGACAGTCATGCCTTCTACTTTAGCTTTAGGCCATGTTATAGACTGAATGTTTGTGTCCCCTCCAAATTCATATGACGAAGCTCTAACCCCCAACGTGATATAGTTGGAAGTGGGGCCTCTGGATGGTAATTAGGTTTAGATGAGGTCATGAGGATGGGGCTGCCATGATGGCATTAGTGTCGTTATAAGAAGAAGGGACCAGAGCTCCGTCTCTCCACGTGTGAGGACACGTTGAGAAGGCCGCTGTCTGCAAGCCAGGAAGAGGGCCTCACGAGGAACTGAGTCTGCCAGCACTGTGATCTTTGACTTCCCCACTTCCAGAACTGTGAGGAATAAACGTCTATTTGTAAGACATCCAGTCTATCTAATGGGTAGAGGCTGGAAGAGTCTGGGGGTACATACTAGAAATACAAATGTTAAGGGCAATTCTGGTGAGGGCTCAGAAAGAAAAAGAGGAGAGTTGGAGAGAAAGCTTCATTTTCTTAGAGAATACATAACCAATCAAGAACAAAATGTTGGTAGAAATATCAACGGCAAGGTCCATTTCGATGAGGTCTTAGAGGGAAATGAGGAACATGTTGGACAATGGAGAAAAGTCGATCCTCGTTATAAAGTGGCAAAGAACTTGGCTGAACTGTGTCCCTAGTGTTTTTGGAAGGTAGAACTTGCGAGCAATGAAACTGGATATTCAGCAGAGGAGATTTTTTTTTTTTGAGGAATATTAGCCCTGAGCTAACACCTGCTGCCAATCTTCCTCTTTTTTTGCTGAGGAAGACTGGCCCTGAGCTAACATCCGTGCCCATCTTCCTCTACTTTATAGGTGGGACGCCTGGCACAGCATGACTTGCCAAGTGCTACCACGTCTGTGCTCGGGATCCCAACTGGCAAACTCCGGGCCACCCAAGCAGAATGTGCGAACTTAGCCGCTGCACCACCGGGCCAGCCCCTCAACAAATATTTATTAAGCATCTGCAGTGAGCTGAGTGTTGAGAATGTGACCAATTATACAGATAAAATTCTTTCCCTTGTGGAGATTATTTACAGTCTAGTTGGGGAGAGAACCCTACAGAATAAAAAACAAATGAATATATAAATAAAAGCTGTGATCCGCACCAGGAAGTAAGTTATGAGATGACAGGAATATCTGATTTTGACTGGGACAAGGGTGAGGCATCTTCTTTCTCATAAAATGGTATTTAGAATGTGGTTGGAGAATGTGTAGAACTTAGGCTGTGTGTGTGCTTGGAGGGGAGATAAGTTTCTGAGTAGAGGGAAAGCATATGCAGATAAGATCCAATAAGCTGAGCTGCCAGACTCAGAGTATTTGAGCACTGGGACCTCGTCTCTTCTTCATCTCTGCATTCTATTATGTAGCACAGTGTCTGGCACAGAGAGCCACTTGAGAAATTCTTACTGAATGAACGAATGAATCCAAGGCACCTTCTATTTCCTGTTATGGATAATGTCAATTCACGTCATTTAGAAATTTCCTTCCAAAATTCCCTGCTGGATCACTGTTCTCATTTGTATGAGGTAGCACAGGCAAAACTGCTGTAACAAAAAGACTCAAGTATGTAAAAGCTCAATATAATAATGTAGGTTTATTTTTTTTTTCTCATACATCAGTCCTAGGTGTAAGATTAGGTCGATGGGGCCGAGTTCTCCTCCACCCAGGAATCTTCCATCTTGAGGCCTTGCCTTCTCCAGATGCTGGTCATCATCTTTCAGCTGGCAGAGTAAATAAGACCAGCTGTTGACGGATTTTCTGGGCCAAGCCAAGAAACAATGCACATCTCTTCTGCTCACTTTCCACTAGGGAGAGCATAGGCACAGAGCCACATCTACTTTAAGGGGGCTGAGGGATGTACTCTAGGCATATAGCCAACAACGAGGACAACTATATCTGCGCAATATACATCCAATTACTCACTTGACTTATCCTCTGGTATATTGAACAAGAACCTCAAATTAACCTAGATAGAACAGAACTCTGGATTCCCCACCCTCACTCTCATCAACCTTTGATTCACTGAATGGCACCATCATCTATCCAATTGCTTAAATTAAGCCAAACACCTCGAAGTTATTTTATTTATTTATTTTTAAGATTGTATTTTTCCTTTTTCTCCCCAAAGCCCCCGGTACATAGTTGTATATTTTTAGTTGTGGGTCCTTCTAGTTGTGGCATGTGGGATACAGCCTCAGCATGGCCTGATAAGTGGTGCCATGTCTCTGCCCAGGATCCCAATTGGTGAAACCCTGGGCCACCGAAGCAGAGCACACGAACTTAACCACTCGGCCATGGGGCCAAGCCCCTGGAAGTTATTCTTGATTCATTTCTTATTCTCACCTTCCACACTGAATCCTTCAAGAAGTCCTGTCAATTCTACCTCCAAAACATCATAAATCCATCTACTCTATCTTTACTGCCACCTCTTCGGTTCAAGCACCATATAATCTCTCGTCTGGATTATTTCGATAGCCTCCTAAATGCTCTCCATGTATCCACTCTTGCTTGCCCATATTTCATTCTCTGTACAGCAGAGCGATCTTTTAAAACATAACTTTGATCACATCACTCTTTAGTGATGGCTTAGAATAAAATCCAAAGTTCTTTCCATGTCCCCTAAGGGTGTATATGACACAGCCCCGGCCCAGCTCTCCAACCTCATCCTTTATCACTCTCTCCTACTCACTCTGCTCCAGCTACAGTGATCTTCTTGCTGCTCCTGGAACACATTTAACTTTTTCCACCTTAAGATTTTTGCACTTGCTGTTCCAAATGCCCAGAAACCTCTTCGAATTTCCAACAGACCACTCCTTCTCATTCCTCAGAGGTCTCAGCTTCAATGTTACCTCCTGGGAGACCTGCCCTAATCATCTAAAAGAGAAAAATCCCCTCATCCAGTTATTCTCTTACTTCAGCATCCTGTTCATTTTCTTCCTGGCATCTACAAACTCTGTGTTTTTCCCTGTTTATTTTCTGCTTCCCTTTCCCGAAAGTAAGATCCACGAGCAAGTACTGTGTCTTGTTCCTACTGTTTGCCCAGTGTCGAGCAGACCTGGCACACAGTGGTGCTCAAGAAATAAGTGAATGAATGAAGAACCACCAAGAGGTGATCAGCCAAAAGCTCCCGCAAGGTAAGCTGCGGGTGTAGTGTAAGGAGCACAAACCTGGGTTCCGATTCTGCCTTGACCGCTTCTCAGCTGTGCACAAGTGAGGCGGGCTCTCTGAGCCTCAGTTACCCACTCTGTAAACGGGAGATAAGAACATACTTACCTCTCAGGGCCGAATGCCTAGTAAAGAAAGGAACTACTGGAGGAAAAGAGCTTCACATAAAATTAACGCTCCGTATTTATAACTATTAGCGCTACTATTATACACAATTCTGTCCTCTTACCGCAGGACCTCCCCGGGGCCTCAGTTTCCTCCTCTCTATCACGAGTCAACACCCCCGACTCCTCTTCGCAGGTGTTTCTGGCGACAGAAACCTCCTCGTCCGCCCGGGGAGGAAAAACGCAGCGAGGACACTCTCGCAATCAGCTCCTCAGTAGGGCGGCGATCTCCAATGGCCCCGCCCCGCCGGGCCCCGCCCCGTTACGTCATCGGCGCGGCGCCAGCGCTGCTGAGGGCCCCGCGGGCCTGTCCTGGGCGTGGCGCACCTTGGGGAGGCCCTGGCGGGCGCCTGCAAATCTCCTGCGTGGTTCGGGGGCGGCGCGGAAACCCCAGCGGACTGCAGCGAGGGGCGCGTGGAGCTGTGGGTGCACGGAGTCGGGCGGCCGGAGGGGCGGCCCGGAGCTCAGGCGGGGCACGGCGCCGGCGGGCGGGCGGGCGGCCGGCGGGGCTACCCGGCGCGGGTGTCCCGGCGATGTGTGGCGCTGAAGCGGCAGCGGGAGCAGCAGCGGCGGCGGCGGGCTCGGTTTCGGCTTCGCGGCGGTGCCGGCGGCGGAGACGGAGGCGCAGGCTCCTCCTCAGGACCTGGCGAGCCCGGGCCTAAGCGGCGGCCCCGCGAGGCCCTTGCACAGCGCCCCGGACCGGGGCCCTCCCTGCCTCGCCCTGCCCCGGGAGCCTGCCTCCCCCGCCGGGGATGAGGCCGGGAGGCGGCCGCGCGGGGCCCAACACAAAGGCTCGTCCCCGGGGGCTGCCGCCGCCGCCGCCAGCCTAAAGCCGCCCGCCGAAGCCGAGCCGGCGCCGGGGCCCTCATCCCCGCCGGTCCCCGGGGGCGGCGGCTGCCTGTCTTCCCGAGGCCCAGGGGCCCAAGCGCCGAGCCCCTTGCTCCTTCGGCCGCGGTGGGACCGGGCAGCTGCGCAGCCTCCGCCGCTCCCGGCCGTAGGGACCTCTCGGAGCATGTCTGAGGAGAGCGACATGGAGAAAGCCATCAAGGTAAGGGGGAGATGCCCCCTTCCTCCCCGCTTTGTCCTTGTGGCATTCCTCTCGACTCCAGCCTCAGAAAGCGGAGAGAACTTCAGTGAGAGAGTCCGGCGACTCCCGGGTTTCGGTCTTCCCCGGATTCCGCGGACTGCGTTTCACAGCCCTGGGGCGAAGGGTCTGTGTAGTGCGGGATGTCCGACTCCCTCCGACTTCCCTGGTTAAAGTGGGAGGTGCTTGCGTTTAGCTAGAACGGAAGGTGAGTGGGCTGGAGGTACTTGATGTGAGTGGGACGCAGAGGGCCCTGCTGCTCCACCTTGGATCACTCCCCAAGTGCCGCCAGCACTTGCGTCCGGATGGTGTGCTGCAACAGCACTGGGAGAATTGGACTTTACCCATCGCTCCCCATTTGTTTGAAACCAGCCTCCTGGAAATGTGCAGTTTCGGGAGGTGGTTCACCTTCTTACAAAACTTGTCTTTTGGCAAATAGGTTGTTCTCACTTTTCCGTGTGTTCCCCTTCCCTTTTCCTCTTGCCGCTTCCCTCTCCCAGGCAACATTGAGTTTATTTAGGGAGAGCTAACTGTGTCCTGTGATTTGCTGCTCTGTTAACCAAAAGAAAAGCAAATATGTGTGTTCTAAAATGACCCAAATAAAATGACAAGTGTTCTAAAACCTGTTTTTTACTCCTTTTTTTTTTTTTTTTTTTTTTTTTTTTTTACCAGGTATACTTTGAGGCGCTAAGGCACTAAGAGCCAGGAAGTTAGCTGTAGCTAGGAAATTAGAGTCTGATGTAAATTGAACACTGAAGCTTGAAGTTTGATATGTGTTTAGTTATCTCGCAGTGTGAAGTCGCCTCGGTGCATTTAAGAATTTAATTTTCCCTTGGGGGACAGGCATCCATTGGCAACTTGGAGTTATTTTCCCATTCAAGACACAATCACTATTATCAGTAACTAATTAAGAACTTACACTTGGGTAGTGAAGTTTATAGAAATCATCAGTCATTCCAAAGAAACTTCACCTTTTAAAGGAGGCATCAAAATATAACATACACATTAAGGAAGATCAAATTTTAAATAATAGAAATAAAAGTTCTAAAATACTGCTGTGATATATCCACTTTTTCCTTTTGGTTTGGATTTTATTGGTGCAGGGTCATGAATTGTTGCCTAAAGTTATATGACTGGGTTGTGAATTAAAGCATATGTGGCAGATTTTTAAATACAAGTTTGTGTGCTTTGTGCTAAGTGCCGTCTTAGGCACTAGTGGTGCAAAGCCAGACTCCTAGATGTTCCTGCTGTCATGGAGCTTATATTCTAGGTGGTGGAATTAGGTAATAAACATTCCCAGGTGGTTATAATTAAGTATAAAAAGGGTTGGGACTATTAGTTTAGGAAGGGTAGTCAGGGAAGTCTTCTCTGAGGCGGTGACATTTGTGTAGAGCTCTGAAGAGAATGAGGGAGCAAACCTCCACTGTCTCAGAGAAGAATATTATAGGCAGAGGGAACAGCAAGTACAAAGGCCCTGAGGTAGGTGGAGGTCTTGTGTGATCCAGGAATAGCAAGGTGGCTGGAATGCAGTGGGTCAGTGTAGAATATGTTAGGTAATGGGAAGCCAGAGCACATAGAGCCTTGTAGACCATTGTAAGAACTTTGGCCTTGACCCTGAGTAGCAGGGGAACTCTGGGAAGTTTTGAGCAGAAGAGGGACATAGTTCTAGTGGGCAAATACATGAATGGGGAGGCAGTGTTAATTAGTAGTTACAATAGTTTCTCTGGGTAGACTAATGGGTTGAAATCTCAGCCATGCCATTCATTAGCTGTGTCCTTAAGTGAGTCACTTCACTTCTCTGTCCTTAAGTGTGCTCATCCATGAAAGGGGTATGAACACACTCCCCAGCTCATAGGATTTTTTTTGAGGATGTAATGAGCAAATATATCTAAATGTGCTACAACAGGACCGAACATTTAGTAAGAGCTCAATGAATATTAGCACGTAGCAAATTAACAGTGGTTTAGAAAGAGTGGTACTTTTCTTCACTTGGTCACTGTTGTCCAACCTAATTTTCTTAAGTTTTTTTTTTTTTTTCTTTTTTTGCTTTTCTTCACATGCTTGATAGCTGATTATGAATCTTCCTACTTATTTGGGTGTTTCTCACCAATACAAATTAGAGGAGTTGAAAATATCTGATTTGACAACCAGTACTGACTAGGATGTGCTCCCTTGGAAGCAAGCCGCATCCCATCAAATAAAACTTTTGGTTTGTGGCATTGCGTTGTATTCATTGTTTTGCTTTTTTGAGGCTGTCGCTCAAATGGTGAGAACTGAGATCTCTAGCGTTCAGTTGGAAAAGCTGTTTTCCTGGGCTGTAACCACAGCACTTAACCTCCTGCTGCCTGACTACCTGAGAGCGGGCTGATTGGACTTTCAGATCTCCTCCTGTTACTATTAAAGGTATTAGGATAGGGCCAAGTGACTCCAACCGTAGGCTCTGTCTTCTCATTTCTGTCTCTGCTCCCTTAGCCTCATGACTTCACTATACTCAAAACACTTAGCTAAACCTGGGGAATGAGTATTTGGGATTAAAGATTATTTTACATATTTGTCTTCTGTTTTATATGGCAGAGTTTTTAATATTTGATGAACTTAGTGAAAATTCATTTCCTTAGTTGAAAAAAATTATTAAAAATTGCAGTATAATTTACATACCATAAAATTCACCCAATGTAAGTGTATAATTCAATAATTTTTTGTAAATTTATAGAGCTGCGCAACTATCATCACAATCCAGTTTTAGAATATTTCCATCTTGCCTAGAAAGTTCCTTCTGCCTCTTTGTAGTCAGCCTCTACTCCCATTCCCCACCCCAGACAACCACCGATCTGCTTTCTGCCACTATAGTTTTGCCTTCTCTAGAAATTCCAGATTACAGAAGTTGTATAACATGCAGTGTTCTGTGTTTGGGTTCTTTAACGTATCATACTACTTTTGGGATTCATCCGTGTTAGTACATGCATCAGTAGTTCATTCCTTTTTGTTATTGAGTAATCTTTTTATTGTCTATCCATCCCCAGTTGGTGGACATTTAGAATGTTTCCAGTTTTTAGCTATTATGAATAAAATGATAAATAAAATTTGTCCATACAAGTTTTTGTGTGAATATATATTTTAATTTCTTTTGGGCAAATACCTAGGTGTGGCATTACTGGGTAGTATGGTAAATTTATGTTCAACTTTTTAAGAAACTGCGAAACTTTTCCAAAGTAGCTTTACCATTATTCGTTCCCACCAGTAGTGTTTGAGGGTTCTCGTTTTTGTTTTTTTACCCTCCTCGCAAATATTTGGTATTGTCAGCCTTTCTATCTTAGCCATTCTACTGGTTGTGTAGTGGTATCTCACTGCAGTTTTAATTTGCATTTCCCTAATGACTGATGCCTTTGGGCATCTTTTCATGTGCTTATTTGCCATTCCTGTATCTTTTCTGGTGAAGTAGCTATTAAAATCTTTTGCCCATTTTAAAATAGGGTTGTCTTATTGAGTTGTAAGAGTTCTTTATATACTCTGAGTAAAAGAACTAATTCTAGTGATCTTGAGCATCTTTTCATGTGCTTCTTTGCCCTTTGTGTATTTTTTTCTGGTGAACTGTATAAAAATCTTTTGCCCATTTTTAAATTGAGTTGTTTGTCTTATTATTGAGTTGTAGGAGTTCTTTGTAAACTCTGAATAAAAGTCATTTATCAGGTATATGATCTACAAATTTTTTTCCCAGTCTATGGCTTATCTTTTTTAATGGTGTCTTTTGAAAAGCAAAAGGTTTTAATTTTGATGAAGTCATTTATCAAATTTTTTTCTTTTATGGATTGTGCTTATGGTGTCCAAGCTAAGAAATCTTTGTCTAATCTAAAAGGTCACAAGATTTTTCTCCTGTGTTTCTTCCAGAGGTGTTATAGTTTTAGTACTTTCATTTAGGTCTAATGTGCATTTTGAGTTAACTTTTGTGTTTGGTATGACGTAAAGGTCCAAGGTTTTGTTCGTTTGTCTTTACTGTGGATATCCAGTTGTTCCAGGACCATTTGTTCCAAACACTGTCTTTTGTCCATTGAATTACTTTGGTACCTTTCTTGAAAATCAGTTGATCGTAAGTGTGCGAGTTTATTTCTGGATTCTCTCTTATGTTCCATTGATCAATATGACTGTCCTTATGCCAGTACCACACTGATTTGATTA